AGAAAAGGCTTTATCAATATTGGGAAGATGATGAATCATCATGATTTGAGATTTGGAGTGAGTGAACTTCTCATTCAGACCCTTAAGGAACCTAATAACATAGTCCTGGTCGCGATATTTTCGAACTGACTCGATAGCACCACAGGAGCACGGAATGGTGCAAGAACAGGCTAGTATGGGTTTGTGATTCTCAAGTTCGTCCCACATGATCTTTAACTAAGTAAATTAATTGGAAACATCAAGAGAACCTTGACGAAATTTGTACAGATCTTCCTGTATATCAGAAATGCGGAAAATATCACCTTGTGAGAAACAGAGCTGTAAGTTCTTCCATACTCCAGCTGCACTTTCGATCCACAACACAGATTTGGCAATGGATTCCGAAATCGATCGATAAATCCAAGATAAGACCATCGTGTTGCATCGAATCCATGGAGCGTATAGAGAATCTGAAATGGGTGGCTTCATGAGTGTTTCATCAATGAACTTATCTTTGTTCTTGGATATCAATGCAATATGCATGGACCTGGCCCAAATATGATAATTCTTATGATCAAGGAGAGTGGAAACAAGAACAAGGGATGGATTTTCATTTGGATGTAGTTAGTACGGATTCGATGAATTCATGGAGTAATCGGTGAGACTCTGGTTAGCCATAAGAACGAGCAAGAAGAAGAAGCAAAGAAGGGAAAAAAAAGAAACATAGGACCGGAAAAGATAACCGATCGAAGGAAAACGGGCAACGATGGCTACTAGAGAAACTCACGCTCTGATACCATGTCAATGTTCTGATAGCGAGAACTGTACATAGCAGAAGCAAGAACGAAAGGAGTATCCATGGAAGGAGAAGAAGAAAACAAAAAGTTGTCATAAAAACAGTGAGTAGTAACTGTATCTTTTCTCAATAGAATTTACTTAACCACTAGTTTGGTTATATACCTTATATGTACAAGAAAATGTGTGTGTGGAAATATAACATGTGTCATACATCCAGAAGCAAATAAAATACAGAAAAGTAAACTATACTATTGTGTACACTCTACACTATTATATACAAAAGTATACTAAGATATATACACTAATAATAATATATATATATATATATATATATATATATATATATATATATATATATATATATATATATATATATATATATATATATATATATATATATATATGAAATTTACAAATCAAAATTAGATGTATGTCACGAGAATCCAAACGGGACATGTGCGACAACATAAATTTCTTACTAGTATGAAGATAAAAGAAAGGGTGTCACATTGACATTTAAATGCAGAATTTAAGTTAAAATATAACATCATAAAACATAGCAAAGTGATTTGTTCAAAACAATTTAATGACATAATGAAATCCTCAATCTGATGTTACAATATCATACTGACACTAGATACAAAATTAGGCCTCACGATTGACAATAATTGTACTTGTTAAAAAAGTATGATTAGGGTAGTTGTGTATCTATAGTGTTGTTTGTGATGTTTGGGGTATTTAGGTAACACATAAGGCTTGCTCATGCATAGTGGTGAGAAGCTATGTATGTGTGTTTTTGTCAGAAATTTTAAAGATCCTCCTTAGTTTAAATGTTGAGATATTTATAGAGATTTTTTAGATTTAGATTAGAGAGAAGTTATTTCAGCTTTCTTTTTCAATGACATAAAAAGAAAGAGATTAGTTCTTCTTTGATTTACAGAGGAGACGATTATCCTCCTTGCCCCCTTTCCAAATTCGTTGTAATCAGATACATCATATTTCACGTCTTTTGAATAAGTGGACACTAATTATTCGTCCAACAGATGAAATCATTTATTGCAATGGTAGTTTTATCATTCACATATGATATATATAATTTTTATATGACTTGTCTAACTTATATAACATAATCATTTATTTACTCAATTTTAAAAAATATATATTAAACTTGATTATTTAATAGTGTCAATAACTTTTTTATACAATTTATATAAATTTATTTTAATAAAATTTTAAATTTTATTTAAAATAAATAAATATATGTATTAATTTTTAAAATAAATTTTATCCTTTGAATTTAACATTTTTAATAATCTTTCAAATATGATTGAAATGATAGTGTGTTAGAATGTTTTTTTTTAATTTAAAAAAATATTATTTATGCAACTAAAAAAGAAAAATAAAAAACATAGACAATTAACTATCTTTATCTCTTTTATATATAGTAGTCAATAATATAATAAAGATTGATAGTATAAAATTAATTATATTATTAACCTATATGAATCAAAAGATTGATTTACACATAAGAGGAATCAGATACGATCTTCCGTTATTCAAATAAAAGAACGATCTTCCGTTATTTAAATAAAAGAGCGCAAAATATATTTAAAAAATTAGATGTGATTAATTTGAAAAATTATGCTTTAATCTTTTAAGTAATATCAAATTAGATTAAAAATAATTTATTTTTGTTTCATTAAACTAACTTAATTACAAGAGTATGAGTTTAAACTCTCTTTTATTCCTCTTTGATAAATAAATATCTCTTTATTAAACTGATAGATTAGAGTTTATGTGTTTGAATATTGTTAAATTTTTTTAATGAGAACTTCGCCATTCATTAGAAATCTAATTGATTTAAGGGTATGTTTGTTTCATGACTGAAAATTTTATTCTTTGGAATGATATTCTTAGTATTCTTGGGAATATTATTCCAATCCATGTGTTTGGTAAGAATTTAGGTTCTTAAAAATAATTATAAAATTTGTTTAATTTTAAATTATAATAAAATAAAAAAATAATAGTAAATAGGAGTGATAGTGAGAAGTTAGAGTTAGTTGAATTTATTCTCATGGAAATGTTTTATTCGCATCCTTTATGCCTTGGAATAAGAGTAGAGAATTCATGAGTAAATAATATTTCTTAGAATAAAAAATTCCTTGAAATAATTTTTTAAAACTTGAATCAAACATAGAAATATTGCATTCTCATTATCACATTCCCATGAATAATTTTTGTAATATTTAAACAAACACACCCTAAGAGTTTCGTATCTATAATTTTATGCGCTTTGATTTCTGTCAACAAAAAAAAACTTATATTGATAGATGATATAATTCAATTGAGGATATTTTTTTTATTCTAAATCATTCAAACATTTTCACACATATTTAAAAAATATAATCATTATTATAAATATAAAAAAAAAAATTGCAAATTATTTTGCAAAATTATATTTCATTAATGATATGAGAAAAGATAAATTTAAAAAATTAAAATAAAAGAGAATATTAAATACTTTAAGGTATAATATAAAATATCAATGTTTTATTAATATTATAAAACAATTGAAAAGTTAATGGGAATTCATCGATTAACCATTTCACACAACTAATTTAAAAATATTAGGTTGGCTTGACAGAATATATGATAGTTATTAGTTGATAGTGTAAAATTATTTCATCTCTGTATATTCTTTTTTCTCAAAATAATTTATAATTTAGTATAAATATTTTTCTCAAACTTATAATATAAAATGGAGAGAATAGTTGTTAATCACGATAAGTAGACGCAAATGGTTGATACAAAGTTCAACCTGTAACTGAAAAAAATAAAATAATATATTAATATTTATAAATCAATATTTTTCAAGAAAAACTAATTCACAAAAAGAAAAAGAAAAAAAATCTATTTATAATAAATTCTTATGCATATTCAAAGTTTAAGAAAGATTTATTTCCACTTTTGTATACTCCATCCAAATTATTATTACCATAAAAGTTAATCACATCTAGATAGAAGGGCAAAACCAAGACACACAAATTCTCTTTTGTTTATCCATAAAAGAGAAGAAATACACACCAAACCATTTCCAATACAAAAGAAATATTTTTTTATTACTCTAATTATTTATTATCCTCTTTTATTTTATTATTAAATATTATTATCAATAAATAATAATAATTTAATAAAATATCTCATTAAAATAACTCAGTTGATAAATTTATAAAAATAATTTATAAAATATCTCGTTAAAACAACTCAATTAATAATTTTATAAAACTAACTGATTACACTCCACAAATTTGAAAGTTAAAAAGAAAATTGAGTTTAAAGAGAGTAAACTATTAATATAAAATAATTTTATACATACAATCAATCAAAACTCTAATATTTATTCTGTAATTTCAATATTTTAAAATTATTTATTATTAATTGACAGTATAAAAATATTTTAATGATATTTTTTTCAAAAAGATTTATCCATATTCATTAAACTCTATAGAAACAAATATAAAAAATATCACAGAATTAGATATACATTTTCCTTTCATAATACGGTGTCCTTGAATCCAAGGAACGCCACAACAAACATAAAAGTTCACACTGTTTAGTTCTCCTTTTTCTATTATCTTAAAAAACAAAAGACAAAAAAAAAAAAAATTCCTTTTTTGACACCTAAACAAATAAATAAGTAAATAAAATAAAATAAAATCCATTTCTAATACAAACTTTTAAAATACTTTTTCAATTTTCCCACACTCTGTAATAAATAAAAAGTTCTCTTCAAAAACAAAAAGTCTTATCTCTTTTTCTCTGTCTTCAATGCCAACTACAAAAAGCAACAGAATTTCAACTTCTTGTTTCAATCCTCATCACATTTCACTCAAACAAACAAACAATCTTTCAACAAATACCAATAATCACACAAACAAAATCAACAATAATCCTAACAGAAACAAAAAATTCCCAGCCATAAACCAAAAAATAAATAAATTTATATTCCACAGAGAAAATAAAAGAAAGAAAAAAAAACTCACCAGTTTTTCTCCTCCGTCGCCGGGAACACAGCGCCGTCGTCATCCACCGTATCAATTTGAAGGTAATTAAACTGAGCTCGATTCTGATTATCAAAATTTCAACGGAAAATTGATAGAAAAAATAATTGAAAAGTGAAAACCTGTTTGTGTATTTGTGATAGGAAAGTTGAATTTTCAAATATGTCGAGGTTTGCATTCTTCAATCGATCAAATACAATGCACGCCTCGTCATCGGAAGAATCTCAGAAGCCTTTCAACGAACTTCTAGACCGGTCCGGTTCATTGAGCAAATTCTACGGTTCAGTAGAATCAATGAAATCGTCGATTCGCGGAAGAATGGTGAAGAAGCTCTGCAATTTGTTCGAATCATCGCCGAAAGAATCTGCGAAATTAGGTTCGGAGCCGCGTTCGGCTTCGAGATTAGGTTCGGAGCCGCGCGCGGCTTCGAGGTTAGGTTCGGAAGCGCGTTCTGGTGAGAAATTGGGGTGGGAATCGGGGATGTTGTTCCGATTGGAAGGTGCTGAGGAACGGATTGTGGTGTATTTGACGAGTTTGAGAGGAATTCGGAGAACGTTTGAGGATTGTAATGCGGTGAAGATGATTCTGAAAGGGTTTAGGGTTTGGGTTGATGAAAGAGATGTTTCCATGGATCGTGCTTATAGGAAGGAATTGCAGGTACAAAGATTGTTACTTTTTTTCTACAATTTTTGTTTACATTGATCTGATCTTTGTCTATTTAATATTTACTAGTACTACCAAATTTAAAGATCGTTACATAACTTGTTAACTTGTGGTAAAAAAAATGATGGCTATGAAATTTTCAAATGATAAGTTTCAATTTTTATTTTTATTTTTAATTTTAGTAAAGAAAATCTCATTTTTAAATTTTTTTAACATCTTTTGTCTTGAATTTAGTGTACAAGACTATAAGGTTTCAAATTGTTCTTATGGTAGTGATCCTTGATGGGATCAGATTATCTTCAGTCACATTATTGTGTAGTGAGATCTGATTTTTTTTTTTCAATTAAATATTATAATAATAGTTCAAAATGATTAAGGGTGAGGAGCTACACTTTATTTTATCCAGTGAATTTACTCACCGGAAACAATCCAAGTCCGATTGTTGATACCTTGAAGACGAAACACGAATTGTTGTCGTCAGCCGATTTCTGCAGCCATGCAGTCGATGTATTGTTGAGTGTCGATCTTAATCTAATGGTTCTAAATAATGCATGTTTAATATTTATTATATAATTCAAATATATTGAGATAATATTTGAGACATCTTATCTAAATTGAAAAGCTATTATTTTTTACGGTGCGACTGCATTGTTTTGTTAATTGCGGTCAATCATGGTCCCTAAAGGACATGTTTCTAACATTTTTATTTATTTATAATGTGTATTTGATGTGTTTAAGCCATTTGAATCGTTTGATTAAGATTAGATAATTCACATCTCGACTTTTGTTAAACTTGCTTGTGTTCTAAAAATGAATTATGAGTTGTTTAATCATTATTTAATGTGTCGATGTTCGGGGTGAAGAGTGTGTCATTGTGTTATGTGAATCCAAGTATAAATATGCTTTGAAGTTGGAAAATAGATTGGTTGCAATTGTATTAATGACAAAGATTGTTTAGAAAATATTGTTATTGTGTAATTTGAATTGTCTATTGAGATTGTAGGTTTTTGTGTATGATAAAAAGTTTGTTAATATACATCTAATATCTAATTTATGTATAAATCGTTGATGTTGATGCAGTGTGTAATGGGAGAGGAAAATGTGTCACTACCTCAAGTCTTTATTAGAGGAAAATACATTGGTGGTGCTGAAGTGATTAAGTCTCTATTTGAAAGTGGGGATTTGAAAAGAATTCTTGAAGGGTTTCCCAAGATGAAGCCTGGCTTTGTATGTGAGAGTTGTGGTGATGCTAGGTTTGTGCCATGTGAGAATTGCAGTGGAAGTCGAAAAATATTCGACGAAGAGGAAGGTTTGTTGAAGAGATGCTTGGAATGCAATGAGAATGGACTCATTAGGTGTCCTTGTTGCTCTTATTATTGAATGATTTAGGAGATTATGAAAATGGAGCAGACGCGGCGGCAACGGCCGTTGATGAAGCTGCGGTTGTGGTTGTAGATGAGATAAAATATGGTTGCATTGCTTTTCCAAAGAATTTAAAATCATTGATATTATGACTATAACTTGAAATTATGATGATGATGATGTTTTGCACCTTGAACATTGTTTTGTTTTGTTCAAGTGTTTTCTTTTTAACATTTTAAATAAGGGCAAAACTTGTTTCATTATGAGACTTTCATAATGTGCACTTGTAAATATTTAGTGATGTATGAATATGTAAATGTTTAGTTTATGATGAACATACATATTTATTATCAAAATCTATTTTCTTATTTTTTAACTTCTAAAAAAAAATCTACATAGAATATCAAGTTTCGTGCATTCCATGCTAATTTAGGGGGGATTTGTTTTAAGCTGGAAAAATTTATTCCTTAGGAATTATTATCTCAAGAAAATAAATGTAAGAAATTTATTTCAAAATATTTTTTTTTAAATTGTCTGGTAAAAATTTAAATATTGTAATTTTTATTAATTTATTTAAAAAAATATATAAAATTTCATGGAAATCCACTTTCCCATTCTTTAATATAAAAATAATTTCATGGAAATAAAGGAAGTTATAAAAAATTATTTTATTCTTTAAAATTTTTATATTCAGAAATAATTTTTTTCAAGTAATAAACATGGATATCATCACTTTTTACTTATATAATTTTTAAATTTAGAAACTATAGAAGACTCTTGTGGTATGTTCTTGTTAAAACTAATCTAGTACTAGCACCATTTTGAAAAAGACAACATTGCAAAACTAATTCTAGAATGATTTTTATGTGTTTAATTCCTCTAAACAGAAATAATCATGTCCCTAAAATTGATTATACTTTAATATTTATTTTGTATTTTTAAATTTAAACATAATTTTTATATTAAAATTTATTATTTAACTAACTTTTATATAAATATAAGATAAATTATTTTATCTTCAATTCAAGTTTAACCACAATTTTTTAACAAAATCAAATCAATTCAAATTAATTTTTGTTAATCTATAACAATATACATATCTTTTTAGTTAAGTAGTCTAATACTTCACCATTTAAAGATAGATAAAGATAGATAAGAGAGATATTGTAGATTCGAATCCGCGTTCCTACATTTAATATTTATGTATAATTATTAACTGAGTTGATTTAAGAAAAGAACCAGATATACGTTTATTTGATATAAAATTTATGCATTTAATTTTTTAATATAAATTATAAAATACCTTAAAATTATATAAAAGATAATTTTTAATGTATTTTTAATAAATAATATTTTTTATGTATCTTTCACTATCATAAAAAAAAAGTAAAATAAAAAACTAAAGTATAATATTTTAAACTAATTTGATCGATATGCATTGTCAACATAAAATTAGTGTCAATTAATTATATCCGATAAATTTTTGCAAGTGCTTTTAATCATATCTTAAATATGTTTATTTGAATGATCATAATTTATTAATAATATAAAACATTTTATAAAATAGTGTATTGCAATTAAACTCAAATAGTGTATATAATAAGAGTTTAATTGCTATCTTGGTTTAAAAAATTGCATTGTCAAAGGTGTATCATAACTCTCCTTAAATATTAATTTAAAAAAATTTGAATAAAAGTCAAACATTTTAAAAGAAAAGACTTGTGAATTAGTAAAGATATTATCTCTGTATATCACTAAAATCCATATAGTAATGATTATGTGGAATAATAAAAAGAAAATTAATTTTATAATAAAAAATATAATATTTGTTATTAAATGATTATTCGTCTATTGGGTCAAAAGAGCGTGAATTGTTGTTATAGAATTGACAAAAACATTTTTTTTAAAATATTTTTTATGATGTATTCATTTTAAGTTGTTGATATTTATATATTAATAATTTTTATAAGTATAATATCTATTTTAATCATTTTATTTATTTATAGATGATATTTTATTTTAAAAATCATTTTAAAATGGAGAAAGTAATAAACTTTTTTTGATAATTTTATATTTTTAAGATGTTATGAACCATAATCCTCCCTATTAAATTCATCATTAATCATCACTGAACCAACTAATTATTAATGTCGTAGATTTTATCAACAAAGAAAAAGATTGTATGTTTATAGTAGGTTTTATCCACACAAAAAAGTTATGGTACATATTTATGAGTGTTAAGGATTTTCTAAATTTTAAGGTGTGAAATTAACATGGTTTTGACTCAATCAGGGCTAATTGGTGATTGAACTATATACTATTTTTTAAACTAGTTGAAAACTTGGACATAAGGATGGTAAAGTGGGCAGTCTGTTCCGTTTAGGTCCGTTCTATTTAAGTCTGTTCCGGTTAGGTCCGTTCTATTTAAGTATGTCTAAATGTGGGGTGAAATGGGGCAACTTATGTTAGAACATAGTTTGGTTCTACAACCCTCAGTTAGAGTTTTGATGATAACAAAATACAAGATTAAATATTATGAGTTTTATATGAGACATAGATGCTACTTAAAAATTATGTTGTGTATTTACAGGAAACTCTGATGTAATCAGCAGCAGAACATCAGTATCAACATCAGCATCAGAAGATTAGTACATGTGCTACGCTGAAGCCTGATGAACAGAATCTGTGCTTGACATACTCTGATTTTGATCAAGATCCTAACTATGTCATCAGCACTCAGAAGCGCCAGAATAAGCTAAAGCCAAGAACGCTCAGATTTTCATTAAGCAGAACATTCTGAAGTATCAACGTTACTGCATTCAAGGCAGATTAATTACCAACGGCTTTATTCCAAGACAAAGATCTTCTCAAAATGGAAAGAATGTTATGAGCATTGAAATGGAATTATGGACTGCAACGTATCTATTCAAAGAAGTATTTAAACAAATCAGTGAGAAAGGAAATGGCTAATAATCTACAATACTCTACACGCATATACGCCAAAAGCCAATCATCATCATCTTCGTCCTCACTTATTCAGTTTGCTAAAGCTCTCAACCGCTTACTCTATAGTTCTAGAATCTAGTTTCACATAAGCTTCATATTGTGTATTATCACAGTTGTGATATATAGTTTTTCTAGAAAACATCAAACACACATTTTGTTCATTTATCTGTAAAAGAATTTCCTTGAGAAACCGGTCTGTGGTTAGACTCAAGAAGGCTTTAGCAGTTGTTAAAGCAGTTTTGTATTCAGTTGAATATAGTGGATTAAGACCTCGTTGGAGAGAGGCGAAATCACCTTGACGGGTGGACTGGAGTAGTTTGAGATCAAACGAACTAGGATAAAAATAACATGTTGTCTGCATTTGATTTCAAGTTTTAACAATTCAACCCCCCTTCTTGTGTTTTTCACATCTTCAATTGGCATAAGAGCGCCTGGTTCTGAGTTCATAACACTTAACCGTGTCAGTACAAGATCCAGCGTTGAAAAACACTATGGCAGGAACACATCACAACATCAACAATGACAACAATGAAGAAAGAGACAGATTCAGTGGAAAACCTCTAGTCTTTGATGGAGAGAACTTTGATTACTGGAAAGACAAAATTGAAAGCTTCTTTCTAGCCCACGATACTGATCTGTGGGATATGGTGACAGATGGATACACGCACCCAGTGAATGCAAATAGTTAGAAGATTGACAGGAAAGCAATGTCTGATCAACAAAAGCGTGATTTCAAAAACCATCACAAAGCCAGAACTATTCTTCTCAGTGCTATATCTTACTCTGAATATGAAAAGATATCAAACAGAGACACTGCAAAGAACATGTTTGACTCTCTGAGAATGACGCATGAAGGCAACCTTCAAGTTAAAGAAACTAAAGCTCTTGCGCTCATTCAGAAGTATGAGGCATTCAAGATGGAAGAAAGTGAATCTATTGAAACAATGTTCTCAAGATTTCAGATTCTGGTTGCTGGTCTCAAAGTTCTGGACAAAGGGTATTCTACTGCTGATCATGTTAAGAAGATCATCAGAAGCTTGCCAAAACAGTGGAGGCCAATGGTCACAGCGCTGAAGCTAACTAAGGATCTCAATACAATCTCTCTGGAGGAACTTGTCAGCTCCCTCAGAAATCACGAGATAGAGCTAGAAGCTGATGAACCTCAAAAGCAAGGTAAGCCATTAGCTTTAAAATCTAACAGAAAATCTGACTCCAAGGTTTTGCAGGCTGTTGAAGAAACCTCTGATGGGTCCTCATCAGAAGAAGATGAACTGTCTCTCCTTTCCAAAAGGTTGAACCAACTGTGGAAGCAGAGGCAAAGGAAGTTCAGGAACCCCAGAAGATCTGAGAACCAGAACGAATCCTCCTCCAGATACAGAAGGTAAGAATCCTCCTCTGGACACAGAAGATCTGAAGGCTCTTCAGGAAGCAGAAATCCAAACAACAAGGACATCATCTGCTATGAATGCAACGAGCAAGGACACTACAAGAGTGATTGCCTAAAGCTTCAGAAGGAAAAGCCCAGAAGAAAGTTTGGCAAGGAAAAGAATAAAAGTCTCATGGCCACATGGGATGATTCTGATACATTTGAAGCTGACTCAGAATCAGATGATGAGAGAGCAAACATAGCTCTCATGGCAAACATATCAGAAGACAGTGAAGCTTCTGAATCAGACTCTGAATCAGACACAGAAGAGGTATTTCCTGACTTTGCTATTAATTTTACTAAGGTTGAACTTGCTGAAAGCCTTAATGAGATTCTGGAAAGATATCAGCAGATCAGAGTCAAATTCAGAAACCTGAAAAGGGATCTTGCTTCTGACTCTGATAAAACTGAGAGTCTTAAATTGGAAAATTCTGAGTTGAAAAATAAAATTTCAAAATTAGAAAATCTTTTACAAAACTCTCAGAAGGAAACAATTCCTGAAACTCCCAGTAGTGCTGATGAGATCATCAAGGAGTATGATCACAGCTTTCAGAAGTTTCTTGCTAAAAGCATAGATAGAAGCAAG